GGCGAAACTTTCTTAGCGTTCATCATCGGCGGCAAAGAAAACTACGATCTTGAAAATGGTGATGACGAGTTGCGTCGCCAACCCCCTTAAGTTTACATATTGTTGTAATTTTTTAAAATCGATGACTTGAGATTAAAGTAGTTATATATTGTTGTTATTTCACTATAATATAATTGTTGTTAAGCTTATGAGTTGGTGGTTTTGAAGGTTACGTGTTGGTTTTGAAGGTTACGAGTTGGTTATGAAGTTTACGAGTTAGTTACCAAGGATACATGTTTGTTGTGAATGTTACGAGTTGGTTATGAAAAGATTACGAGTTGGGTGTGAAGGTTACGCGTTGGTTGTGAATATTACGCGTTGGTTGTCAAGGCTACGAGTTGGTTATGAAAGTTATGAGTTGGTTGTGAAGGTTACGCATTGGTTGTTAAGGTTACGAGTTGGTTGTGAAGGATACGCGTTGGTTGTGAAGGTTACGCGTCGGTTGTGAAGGTTATGAGTTGGTTGTAAAGAAAAGTTATGTGTTAGTTTTAAAGGTTACGAGTTGGTTGTGAAGTTTACAAATTAGTTACCAAGGGTACGTGTTGGTTGTGAAAGTTACGACTTAGTTATGAAAAGATTACGAGTTGAGTGTGAATGTTACAAGTTGATTGTGAATGTTACACGTTGGTTGTCAATGTTACGTATTGGTAATCTAGGATACGAGTTGGTTGTGAAAGATACAAGTTGGTTGTGAAGGTTACTCGTTGGTTGTGAATGTTACGTATTGGTTGTCAAGGTTACGAGTTGGTTGTGAAGGATATGCATTTGTTGTGAATGTTACGAGTTGGTTGTGAAGGTTAGTTAACAATAATCATAATCAACTCATTACCGAGGTTCACAACTAACTCTAACCTTCACAACTCGAAACCTTTACAACAAACGCATAACTTTCACAACCAATGTATAACCTTCACAACTAACTTGTAACCTTCATAACCAATGCGTAACCTTCACAACCAACTCGTAACCTTCATAACCGACGCGTAACTTTCACCACCAACGCGTAATCTTCACAACCAAGGCGTAACCTTGACAACCAATGCGAAGCCTTCACACCCAACTGTTTGCTTCGGAAATCAATTTCTTTGTAGAGTCCATTACAATCATTTATCGATACAACGGAATCACAAGAGTGAGTCTTTTTATAAGACTTCTCTTTACGAAAGAAATAAAAAGAGGATTTCTTAGAAACACACACAGAGATTATTTATCAATCGCTGCTTACGTGGGATCTTTACTTGTGTTGGGGACGTGTTAGCCCGTGGACAATCGATTTATAGATCTGGATTGATCATGAAGAAGGCTTGGTGTTCTTATCTCAACGAGGAAACCAGAATAAAAGTAAATATCTCAGTGAGGTAAGATAAGTACTCTTCTCGAGATCAAAGCGATGTTTGATCTCAAGGAAAGGGGTGAAGGCTGTAGATCTCTCGAAATATTTTTCTTTATGCACGAAGTTCCAAGATCTCGGCTTTCTCTCTGAAATTCGTGGTCTCTGCTCTCAATTCACTAGTCTCTCCTCAGCCCGCTCAACCCTCGTGCATAAGGATGCCAGGGGGATATTTATAGGCTTCAGACACCGTGTTTATGGATAAGAATTTATTATTTGGATGTATCTTCGGTTAATAATGACTTTCCCATGTTTATGGATGTTCTCAAAGTAGTTAGGAAGCCAATGAACCGCACGAATCTTGAGGAATTGATCAAAAAATGTGTTTTGGGAGTTTACTTTGCGAGACACACTTGTGTGTCTCGGCCTGCGAGACACATTTGTGTGTCTTGAAGTGCGAGACACACTTATGTGTCTTGGATTTCAAGACACCTGAGTGTGTCTCGTTCCATTGTTTTGTCGTCTCGCGTACTTCGTCGTTTCTTGTGCTCCTTTGCTTCCTTTTGGCATCAGATTATCCTCTTTGACTTAGATATCAACGCTAATCATATTCTCTTCATCTCGAGCTGTATTCAGGAACCTATAGGCAATTTTTTACGCCTACAGATATCCCCTCTAAAGTTTTTAGCTTCCTTAGTATTTTATCAAGGAGTCTGGAAACTTTGGACAAGATAGGCCTTGTCTTCAATCTCTTTAGTATTTTATCGAGGAGACCGTACAGAAGGACCTGTGAGTGGTTTCAATTCTTTAACTTCTTCAGCTTTCAGTCTATTCAATATTTTGTCGAATAGTCTAAAATATTTCTGGTGCTGCGTTTATCGCCTGACCGTTGTTAAAACTTTAAACTAAAACTGTTGCATTGATACCTAAATTATCTCGTGTCATTGAGTCGACGTTGAACTTAG